TCTGAAAGACATATGCCTAATCCCAAGTTAGAGCAGCGGACAGGCAGTGGGCATGCCCAAAATTCCTTGCCCCACCTCGCCACACAACCATGTATGGCCAAAGTTTCTTTAGTTTCTTTAGGCCTGGGAAATAAGTTTTTCTGCCTCTTTGCAGAAGTCATAATAGTAACTTAAATGACTTACCAAGGAAAACTTTTCACACTTATTACCACGGCTGAGGAATATCCCAGAGGCATGACTGTGGAACCTAGAAGCAAAAAGTGATGTATTGGGGATACGAAAGTAATTGGAGATGCAGAAACAAAGAGCCTACACTTAGAGGGAAGATTTTAGTGGAAAAGATTTTCCTTCTCGCTTTTAGATTCCCATAACCAACATCAGATATTGAAGGAGAGCAATAGTTTCATGCATTTAAATGCTATTCTGAAGCAAAATTGTTTTCGATGAGTGAGAGAGCGGGATTCTTTGTTCTTCCTGCAGGCTCGGCCTGTGGATTACCCTAAGGACTACCTGTCTCACCAAGTTCCCATATCGTTCCACAAGCACTGGAACATCGATCCCGTGAAGGTCTATTTCACATGGTTGGCACCCAGTGAGGAAGACAGAGCCAGGCAGGAGACACGAAAAGGCTTTAAAGAAGAGTTATAAAGCATGGTGGCCTGTGGGCACAGGTAGGACACAGAAGCAGAGACTGGCATTGTCCTGCTGTGCTGGATCACACTGCTTACGTGCGACATGCAGCACTGGAAGCTTCCTGACTTTAGGTGGACGTTATTATACGGTAATTTTTGAGTTGAGGGTGGGGAAGGAGTCATAGGGAAAACAGAGATTTTTGTTTTCTGGGAAAGGTCACTTGCTTTAGCATTATGCAGTTATTGTGATACACAATGATTACTGTGTATTTTTCAAGCTGTGAAACAGCAGCTTTATTTCTGTCATAGAAAAATAAACGGTACCAGAAATTTCCTTACTGTCCTGTCTCTTCATTATAATGAAAGTTTCAGTTGGGCATGAGTCTGGAGAGACGTGATTGTGTTATTATATACATAAAATAAAGAAGAGGGAAGGTCTCTTGATCTGGATATTACAATGGGGTGAACTTTTTAACCGTATTATTATTATTTATTTTTGTGGTACGCGGGCCTCTCACTGTTGTGGCCTCTCCCGTTGAGGAGCACAGGCTCCGGACACGCAGGCTCAGCGGCCATGGCCCACAGGCCCAGCTGCTCCGCGGCATGTGGGATCTTCCCGGACTGGGGCACGAACCCACGTCCCCTGCATCAGCGGGCGGACTCTCAACCACTGCACCACCAGGGAAGCCCTTAACCGTATTATTGATGATCGAAATTATTTCCTGGTAACTCAGTAGGAAGACTGCTGTGTTAAGGATCATTCATAAAACGTCATAAAAGTCTAGAGATGAAAAATCCCCTGTAGTCTATAATCCGGGTTGTTATGTTTTATCTGTTTTTCTGTTTGTACCTCATAAAAAGAGAATAATAAGTCTTCTGCGAGAGCTTTCTCCTTCTTTAGAGGTTCATCTGTGTTCTATTTCTCCCTGAAGCCCTATCTTTATGACCTACTTGTAACACAAAAGTGTAGTGGCTGCTGCCAGAAGATAATGTTCTCAATATTAAAAAAAAAAAAAGTTGTCATATTTTATTCAAGTCACTGAGCTCTGAGTCTCAGGAAGTGAATTAAATTAATTGTACCTGGTGTTTTGCTCTTATTTTTATTTGTATGTTATGTAATGACTCTCCAGACTCAGAAGAGACCCCCCAGTGTAAGGCAGGACCGCATGGTGATTTGGCAACTTCCCAGTTTCTTAAATAATGAAATTTGCAGACAGTATTTTGAAACAGCTCTAATTTCCAAATCATATCTTTTAATATACAGTAACTTAATTCATTATTAATTTTAAAGCATATTCTGTATTTAACATTTTAACTATATAATTCAGTTTTCTAGAGGTATTTGCATAAAATTTGATGTCTTAAACTAGTTTTGGTATAGTAAAATACTTTCCTCTTTTTTTTTAATAAAAATTGTTATTCATTAATTTTGCCTGTAATGTTTTTATAGCCAAGCACAGGGTTTTTAAAGCCATGCCACCAAAAGTATCCATGTGTGTGTTTTTTAACAATACATTTTTCTTGTAGCTTATATGTAACTGATTTCCAAAATGATGCAATAGTATTTACCATTTTTCCAAACTAGCAAATACCAGGACTGTTGTGTTTTCAGTGATAACTGAATACACTGGATTCATTGCTGTGAGGGTGGATTTTGTGGTCCGTCCAAGGAACGGATCCGGGATGATCAGCCGGATAAGAAGCACCCGCAGGACGTGTAGATCTGGCCAAGCTATTGCTGGTGACATCAGTACTGCTGTCATAGCTGGGATTACTGTCACTGGTAGTCACCTTCACGTCATCTGTAATCGTGCTCCTGGAGGGCCTGGCTGCCTAACCCAGTGGAGAAGAGCCTCCAGTTCCTACTCTTGCCTAACATTGTCACACTCAGAAAAAAGTGTACTCATTTGATAGCACTGTACTGGCATCTGTACAGGAAGATCCACGTCATCACGCTTTACCTGTGTTACGATGATCAGTGCCTTCTACTGATACCGGGGCACCTTCTCTGGTACTTTTAGGTGTTAGTTATGTTTACTTTTTGGAACGATGTAAGCCTAACCACAAGTAAAAGACCTTTGCCTAAATTTCTGATTTCTCAGATGTATTTATTAGTCCAAGTGGAGCGGGAGTTGGGAGGGATGTGAGGAAAGGGAATGAATGAAATCAGAGAAAAAAGTTGGCAGCTCAGTAAACACAGTTTTTAAAAAGAAAAATAAAAACCTATCCTTTTAAGAGAAAACCATCAGACATTGTATATTTATACAAAGTCTATAAAACCATTATCTATTTTCTTATATAATGACTGGAGATATTTTGGAACTGATTCTCATAGAATTCATAACTTAAGAACCAGTTTTGAATCTGTACTTTCCTGGACAGATACTTTCCTATTCATATTTTCTTTGCCTTTTAAATAGAAGTTTGCTTCAAATGGCTATTTTTATACTGGGATATCAACATCAAGGAGGTACAGGTGGAACCACTGGAATGCCATTTTTGCTTTTAAGCCACTTCTGCTGATACAGCCAAAGCAATTTGTCTGACAATGTAGGATTTTTACATCTTTCAGCCAAATTGGAAATCCAGACACAAACACGGCCTTTATAGGCTGTTTGGGAACACAGAACAATAGCATGCTGGGCTGCAAGTGATGCTATGCATGGGTATTTAAATATCAGTGCTCCTGGGTTTCCTGATTTACTGAATACCTTTAGTGCTTCCACATCCATATCATTATAATTGTTTATGTATTTTCCTCAAAAATTAATAATAGACATTTGTAAGAATGTTTCAGTTGTCTTCCATTCCTAATCAGAGACAGAACTTCCGTGGACTAAAATGAATCAATGATTCATCCAGCAACTGTTTATTAAACCCCTACTATGGTTCAGACCTTCCAGGATGCCCCTTGTCTCTTCTACTCACCACTCTATCCCTGGCATCTTTGAATGCCTGGCACACAGTAGGTGCTACTGTTTTATGCTCCCAAGCTTTCTATAAGCATGTCACCTGCAAAATGTGCTTTCCTCCTATCTAAGAAAGTGAAGTCTTTGTTTCTGACATCAAGTCTTTGAGCACATGTCTTCACTTTAAAGACATATTTCTGGAAGGAGTTGGGGTAGGTACAAGGGAAAAGGACATAAACCGGTAACAAATGAACAAGATGATTTCTAATAATACCTAAAGACACTAAGAAGAGGGAGGCAGAACTGGATGGGGGCTGGGAACTAGCTTGGATAGAGTAGTCAGAGAGGGTTGCTAAGAAAGTGATGGTCGAGTGAAGACCCCACTGAATAGACAGAGTCAGGAATGCAGAGATATGTGCGCAGTAACAGCAAACGTGAAAGCTCTAAGGCGGGGACGAATCTGGCATGTCTGAAAAAGCAAGCCTGTGACCGCTTAGCTGTCATCACTGTTATTAGTAAACATCCAGGTGATTTCAATCAGGTGCTACGGAAGTCTGGAGCTCATTGGAGCAGTCGGGCTGGAGTTATAATTCTGGAACTCATCAGCATTTTTAAAGGTTTTTGAAAGCCACAAGACTGAACAAGATCGTGCAGGGAAAGAAGGAAATAGAGTCACAGCCTGAGCAGTCGGTGAGGTGGAAGGGACACCGGGGTAGGCAGGGGAGCTGTGTAAGGGAAGCCAAGGACGGAGTGTTCTGAGAAGCAAGAGATCAAGCGTGTCATGTGTTGCCGAGAGGACGGAGAATGACAGTGTGAGCAGCGTGGAAGTGACCTTGACAAGACTGCTCCCAGTGAGTGGGGCAGGAGGCGGGCAGGATGGGAGCTGCGATTGTGGAGAGCGATTATAAACATTTGGGCGGGGGGGGGGGATCTACAGTTAATTCTTTTTGTGATTTAAAGACAAGGGAACAGGGCGGTCTTGGGAGTTTATATTTTAAGGTGGAAGATTCTAGGAAACGTCTGTATGAGATGCGAGTGGCCTCGTAGAGAGGGAGGATGACGAGTGACTGCATCGACGGTCCTGGCAACATGGGATGGAACCCAGAGCCCAGTGGGGGAATCTGACAGGAGGGCCTACTGTCAAATGGGGGGACAGTGTAGGCACAGAGAAAGGTTTTTAGATTTGCTGATGTGACGATAATGGGTGTTTACATCTGATCATTTCTGTTAAGTGTGAGACGGTATTATTTGCTGGGACTGTTTGACTTTTTACATGGGTTTGCTTTATGGAAACCGCAACATTAATAATAATAACCACAGTGACAGCCACTTACATAATGCTTACTATACTTGGCACAATTCCAAGTGTTTCACACATTAAGTTATTTAATCCTCACAATAACCCTCAGAAGTGACTACTAGTGCTTTCTCCAATTTATATTGGAGGTAACTGATTAAGTAACCAGCTCAAGGTCACAGAGCTAGTAAGTTTTGAACCCAGACATTTTGGCTCTGGAGTTTGTTCATGTAATCTCTGTGCTCCTTTACCTCTATCAAGAACAATGTTGCCTCTTCCCCGACTGAATGTATATCTAGTTCTGAAACACTATCATAGGTAAAGAGCACCAAGAATCCAAGAGTTAATCATGAAGTAACCCTATATAAAGAGAGAGAAGAGGCAAACATGATTATATATCAAATAAACTATAGAAGCAGTATGTGCTGGGAGGTTAAAAAAGGAAGAAACTAATTGAAACTGAATTTTGAACTTTTGTTCTAGAACTTTGGAAAACAATACCTCTGGTAAGGGTTAAGATCCTCATACACTGTTAAACTGTGGCCCAGAAGTTCTACTCTGAGGCATATACCCTAGTGAGACCCTCACATCCTTGCACTAAGACACATAAACAAGAATGTTCACAGCAGCATACACAGTTCAAGGGAGCTGAAAGTTGGAAACAGCCTACATGTCCATTGCTTGAAGGATTAATAAGTTCTGGAATGTCTTTACAATATCACATTATGCTGCGGTTAGTACGAATGAAATACAGCTACATGACACATCTCAATGTTAAGCAAATTTTAAAGTCACAGAACAAAACTTATAATAGGATCTCCTTTATATAATTTAAAACCATGCAAAATTTAATAACCATGTAAAGATACTCATCTAAAAAATTAAGAGAAGAGAAGGATAAACACAAAATTCAAGACAGTAGTTACCTCTGCAGGAAAGACAGAGGAATATGCTCTCAGAGAGAGCCACAGGGGACTCAAAGGTAATGGTTATTTCTATTTCTTAAACAGGTTGGTGGGTACATGGGTGTTTGTTTTATAGGTATTCTTTATGCCTGATAAATATGTTATGAATATTCCCTGTTCAACATTTAATTTTGATGTAATTAATGTTAATGACTTGC